TTTTTTTTTTTTTTTTTTTTTTTTGGTACTGGGATCGAACTTGGGACCTTGCACTTGTGAGGCAGGCAGCGGAACCATTGAGCTAAATCCCTGGCCACTATTAGTTTTATTGAAGCACAGAGAAATTATGCAACTTGCCCAAAGTCACATGGCTATTAAGTGACAAACTCAGGGTATAAACCAGTTTGGTTTCAAAGTTTATACACTAACCACTACATTATATTACCCTTTGAGAAGTAATGCCTTTATTATGGATCAAATGAATAAATAGACATTTGTCTCAGAGAAGAATTTTTATTGTGTATATTAGTAAAAAGAATAGTAAGATTCATTTCCGTATATTGATGCATGTATATACCATATTTTGATTAATTTCACCCTCATTATTCCTCTCCCTTCTCTCCTTCCCTCATCCACTTCCTGATTGTTGAAGTCTACCTTCTAATTCTTGTCATCTCTCTTTATTTATTTAAAATTTATTTTTAGATTGCTTATATAAGAGAAAACACGCGGTATTTAACTTTCTGCCTTATTTCTGGCTTGTTTTGCTTAACATGATGGTCTCTAGTTTCATCCATTTTCCAGCAAATGATTTCTCTTTCCATATGGCTATGCCTCATTTATACACCATGTTTTCCTTTATCCAGTCATCTATTAGAGAAGAATTTAGTGCCCACGAAGATTAGTTGTTAGCTTAGAAACAGATTAGTTGCTTCAGAACTTCAGCTACTCAGTTTCAATTCAGAAACCCAATTATTTGGATATATATTTGAGGTTAGATTCGCAAAGGTACAAGGAAAAACACAACTTGGCAGTTCAGCACGTACCTTGACTGTCCCTTGTTTGGCAGAAATAAGTGCAGTACAGAGGACATGAGCTTTGATGTCAACCCGATTTTAGGAGCCCACCTTGCAAATTACTAGCTGTCTGACTTTAAGCGGGTTATGCTTGCAGCATAGGAACTATGTTCAAATTGTTTTTAGGCAATTCTCTTCTGTGAGGACATCGTGTGTTTTTCAGAAAGATTCCCATTTGACTGCTTTTATAGAATTATACATAACCTAGCCCATGGCCTTCTTTTCCATTTTGGAATATGCCTGATTTGTCTTCCAGGCATCAGATTCTGCCATCTGATAGCGTGTGACTATCGAGAAATGTGATTATTTTTCTTTCTTCTTTAATTTATCCTGTTTTTCTCATTTGAGATTGTATCTCAATTAACTATTTCCTTAGTTACTTATTGACTTAATGGAATCCAGCTTCATTGACATAATTTGTGAACTTTGCCTACCTCTAACATCTGTTTGAACCACAGCAGCTTGTCAAATTGCCCTGATATTTTTATTGCCTTTTTCATAATCACTGAAGCTTACTACCAATGGTCATTTCAAAATTTGTCAGTTATTTTAGTCTCTCAGTAGAGTTATCAAAATGTAACATGTTTCCTATACCAATTAAGCATACATATTTTGAAGCAGGTAACATTTCTGGGAGTATTATATGGAATTATCTAAATCACTAGCATCTAAAAACAGTCATTTGTGATCAGGACACAGAAGTAAATATTTCAGAATGACCTCAGCAAACCCCAATTCTCTAAAACTAGACTTCTGTTATATTACAGGACAATTTTTGTCAACTTGCTTTCATTTACTAATTTTCACATGGTCCTCCTATTCCAATGAACCAACATTCCTGTAGTCACTAACTGTTGATTCATAAATTCAGAAACTATCCTCTGAGGACTACTAAGTAATAAGGGCTGGCAGTGTAATGGATTTTGTGAGATATATGACATGCTCTAGGGTCCCTTATATGTAGGTAACACCATCTGTTGAAAAACATTATACTATTTCTCTTTTCTTTTCTTTTGTACTGGGATCAAACTCAGGACCATGCACTCGAGAGACAGGAGCAGTGCGACTGAGCTAAATCTCTAGCCCCTGTTTTTCTTTCCTCAAGTGTGTATACATGCTTTTGGGCAGACTCTGTAGATTTACATAAAGAGCTAAAAGAATACAGCAGGAAAAGAGGATAATTCTGGCTTAAGCTTTATTATGGCTAAGACTTCAAAAAGAGGTAACAATAAAGGAAAATGAACCAATAAAGAAAATCCTAAAGCAAAATAATGTTGTTAAATTTATTTAAATGTTTAAAATACATATAGTAGATTAATTTTTTCCCTTGGGTATATGAGAATCATATGAGAGAAAGGATAAGTTGTGAAATCATACAAACAAAATAGGGTGTCACAACTTCAAAGGGGTTGGGAATCACTGTCCTAGTTCTTCAGCAGTTTAAACACTGGATTACTAAGGCCCCGTTATATGTAATTTTTAGGCAATGATTACTGGCAGAAATTTGTCCCAAATAAGCAGAACCAGAAGGTTTTAATACAAATCATTTATTTTTATCTTAATAATCATGATAAGGCAACTACACAGCATCAGAACCTAGATGAGCATTTCCCATTTCACAAATAGAGGCACTGTAAGTTTTATAGTTCAACAATATTGGGTAAACACTTTTAATTCTTGTGTACCCAATAGCAAAGACAACAGTGATTTGCTTTCTGTTTGGTTACAAATACTAGTGTGTGTGTGTGTGTGTGTGTGTGTGTGTTCTCTGTGTATTAAAGGGTGGGGTTTTTTTTGCATTATAATGGCTAAAAAGCTCTACTTGAGTTCTTTCTAAAAAGCAACTACAACAGAAGAAAGAATAAACAGGATTTCCTCTATAACTAATATTGACTTAACTTTATAGGGTCCCAAGGCTGAATGATTCTGTTTATTCATGTAACAGATCCAGGCTATTGGCCCATTCAAATTCAACCTTCACAGTTCAGGCTGTACAGCCAGTTTAACTCTTGGCCTCTCAGGTGACCTGACTTACAAGGGTTATAGAAAAGGCCACAGCAGTTTTGAGATGTTGTGAAAGAAACTCAGGCTCTGGCCCACAGCCCAGTAGACTAGAGTCCCTCAGCAAAAGAGAGTTTCCACTGGTCACACTTGGGAATTATCCCTGGTCGCCTTTGTCTTAAACCATCTGGATGTCAAAAGTGCTAACAAGCAACTGACTCACTAGCAGAATAAATTCAATCTGGTGACTGTTTTGGAAGGTTCTACAACAAAAGAGATACTGCCAAGAAAGCAACAGCAATTTCCTAAGTTTTGAGGTCATCTAAGCCTACTTGTGAGATGGCATATTAATAACAGAGTGGAAGACTTGTCATGGTGGCTTAGCCTCTTTTAAGATGAAAGAACCCATGTTTAGATCTTGTTCAATGACCCCCTTCCTAGCTCTCTTAAAAGTAGCAAGTGTGAATTCCTGCTTAGTGACTTTGGAATTATTTCACAGCTCTGGCTGTGACAAGTGTTGGAAAGTTTTATGATACTTGGCAGTACCCTGAGAGTTATCATATTATTTAAAATGGGGTCACTAAGCTAATGCCAAATGACAGTGGCTTTGAATCCTCTCAAAGCACAGTATTGTGCAAGAAAAATAATATTTGCCCTAATGAAGACTAGAAATGTATGCGTGATCTGCATTATAGTCTTGTATTTTTGTGTACCTTTTCTTATAATGACCTATGCATGAGATAAAAAATGAGAATGTACTATTTATCTGTTTTTCTATAGAAACAGACATTTAGGTAGCAGAAAGTATCATTTTGTGAAATTATTAGTGAGCACAGATGCAATGACTTTATATGAAGCTTGGGTTTTATGTTATTATTGAAAGCATTTGTCAAGAATTTCAACTTTGAGATTATATGAAATGTTATTAAAAATAGCAGTCCTGTTGTGAATTGGCTCATGGTAACCACCTTTTTTGCCCATTAGGTTAAATGTCTTTCTTTCTTTCTTTCTTTCTTTCTTTCTTTCTCTTTCTTTCTTTCTTTCTTTCTTTCTTTCTTTCTTTCTTTCTTTTCTTTCTTTCTTTCTTTTTTCTTCCTTTTTTTTTTTTCTGGTACCAGGGATTGAACTTAGGACCTTGCACTTGCGAGGCAGATGTGGTGCCACTGAGCTACATCACTGGCCCTATAAGTAATTTTCTTTTCCTTTCCTCTCTGTTCCTCTTCTCCCTTCCCCTCCACAACCCTCTCTTCCCTTTTCCTGTCTTTTACTCTTCTCCCCTCCTCCTCCTTTTCTCCCTTCTCTCCCTCTCCATCAAGTTTGACTTACAGCAGTGTAGGGCTTCTCTAGCTTACATCTCCAAACGTTTACAAATTCCTCCCATAAATTATAGTTTCAAAAATTTCTACACTACACAGTCAGGTACAGTCACAGCAACAAGCCCACTTCTTTGGTAACAAAATCTATCTTAGCATTCACTAGAATAGAATTAATATGAAATATATGTAAAATTATACAAAGGGATTTATTAGGGAGGCTTACAGTGTCAGAGGCAGAAGAGTCCACAATGGCCATCTGCAGAATCAGAGGCTGAAGTATCCATAATGGTCCCAGTGCTGAAGTGACAGAGGATCCAGTAACATCTGAGCCAAAGAAGACAGCAGCTGCAGAACAAGAGAGATCAAGGCTGCAGCAACGGGTGATGGTCAAAGGCCTGAAAGTTCACTGTAGTCATACATGTGAGTCTGTGTTGGGAGGCTGAAGAAACTGGAGACCAATGACCAAAGACAAGAGTGAAGGCTGGAGTTCTTCTAAAATGAGGCACTTGTTTTTACTTTCTCTTTTTATTCTGTCCAAGCCATCAACCTATTGGTTGGTGTTACCCACAGCTAGAGAGGATCTTCCTTTCTCAATTTGCAGGCTTACATGCCAATCATCTACAGACACACCAAGAACTTCACTAATCTGCTGGGTGGTTCTTACTCTAGTCAAGTTAATCTATCATGATCATAATCTGCACCTTGTCAATTTGACAACAAGATACATCTCCTTAAACCATACCTAATCTCCAGATACAATGGTAGGTTCATAATTATGCCCAATGTGATACAAATGAAAACAAAATTCCCTCTTTAGAATAAAAGACAAAGTTTTTCTCTGAGTGATGCTTACTCTTTTCCTGACATTCTATAATTGGAATATTATAATGTAGATTTAATAATGCTTAAGTGCCAGTAACGCTATGTTACAAAGAAAGAAAACAAAGGTATCGCTTAATATATATGAATATATGAAAAATGATACTAAAAAAGAAAATAAAAAATCATGACAATTACAATCCTCATTTCTGTAAGTGGTTATGTGGTATTTATAACTACCTTTTTCTACTACCCATTCTGTACTCCCTTCCCCCTCATCAAGCACGTCAGATATGAACAGATAAGGACTGTGTGGACAGTCCACTGATAGAGTATATTTCCATGGCATCCTGCTGATTTTGTTCAGGGTGAACAAGAAGGGCCTAATATGCTAAAGGCTTTGATAAGACATAGTGTCCCAGAGGATTGGTGATAAATCCTATGGAGATTCAAGGATTTGAGAGGAGAATAGATTTTTAGGGACCCAGTGGTCAAAATCACAACAAGATATGCCTTTCTCAAAGTAAAAATAAAATTGATATAGTTTTCATTTGTTATCCCAAAAAGAGAATAATGTACCACGTAAGTCTCTGGTTTCTGGAAGCAACACATTCCAAACATACAAATCCTTCATATATCAAGTGACATGGAAAGCTGTCAGTTGTGAGTGAGCAGGTCTAGGCTACAATGCAGCTCTGCCACTTGGGCCATACAATAGAGCAGATTTTAAGGTATTGGAGGTTGTGGGAAAAGGTGCAGTGTTTTATGGTAACTCCCATTGGAAGAACAGCAATGCAGGCCCCTGTGATTGTGGTGCAAGGCCATGACATTTGCTGCATAGAATTGTGTCTTTTGAGGAATGGTCCTTGGTAAGCTACTGGGAGTGAGAGTCAATGGGTGGGGGCACATAGTGACTGTGGGTCTAAAATTGCACATTATAAGGTGGGATCTGTTGTATACGCCAAATCACTAAGTTGTATAGGCCTAGTGGTAGTCTGCTGTAATATGGAAAGACACACCTGGAACTGAGCCTGAGCAGGACAATGAAAACAGGAAAATGCATGAGCAAGTAGAGCATACTAGCATGTCCCTCACAACAATTCCCACAGCACCCTTCATCCTGTGGCCACACGGGGAGTTCTACTGACCAAGTGAAAGAGAAGGAAAGCCTCCATTTGGTCTTTGAGTGAGTCTATGCTATATGCAAGTACAAGCTAAAAATGGAGTATGGTTGCATTACAACCATATTCAAGGAAAGCCTTGAAAAACAATAGAGAAGAAAAATCCTCACAGTGAATGGAGTTGTGAAAAAGGCATCTAGTCATCAACATATTGTGGAATGAGAAGTGCCCCACTATTTACAGGCCTGCATAATGGCCAATTGCCTAGTGTCTGCTAAAGGACCTAGAATGAAAAGAATTACAAGATTGGAGACAGGAAGTTCTAGGATAAAGGCACGTAGATGAACAGGAATAGTTTTGTGACACACATTATGGCTCAACAAAAAACAACTACCATGAGAGAGAGGTGGATGAGTTTTTGAGTTTTGCATTTTTCTTGGAAACCTCATGGCATCAAGAAACTATTCCAGATGCTTTCACCATAATAAGCAGACTAGTTGATATAAACCAGCTTTTGTTGCTGTGGTTATCCTGGAATTGCTATGATCATCACATGAACAAGGTAGCTGTGGTGGCAGAAACAGGCTATTCATGGGCCTAGTAGTATGGACTTACCATTACCAAGGCTAAAGTAGCTTCAGCTGTTCCTGGATGTCCAGCCTGTCAGCAATAGAGACCAATGTTGATAAGACCACTAGCTATTTGGTGTAAGCTGACTACAAGAATTAGGGATTTGACCTGACAGAAATAGACATCTATTCTGGTTACAGACTTCTCTTTCCTGCTTACAATACAATTAGCTCCAAAATCCAAGGGCTTAAAAAAGGCCTGACCTCTGGGTATGGCATCTCACACAATATAACATCTGAACATGTGATCTACTTCACAGTGAAGGAAATGCAGGTTGAGTCCATGACCTCACGAGCACTAGCCATATCATATATAACATCATTTAGTAAAAGGTGAAAGATTTATATGATCTGAAGAGAAACCAGAGTATATATAACATCAAGTAGGAGCAGACAGTTTCAGAGACAACTGGAACAGTTATCTAAAGGCCATCACTTGTAGTGAAGAGTTCAGTATTTTTCATCTTCCATCAGCTGGCTGTGTAGAAACCCTTCTCCTTTGGCCCCGTTTTACCTGTAGGTACAAGCTTGGGAGAGGCATTGCTGCAATGGTAATAGCTGACATTGGGAATCTGAGCTAAGGCAGAGAACTCTACACGGTACCACGGCTCTAATGAGAACACAATGGTGGGCTGGGGATTTAGCTCAGTGGCATCACACCTGCCTGGTAAGTGCAAGGTCCTGAGTTTACTCCCTAATACAAAAACAAAAAGAAAAGAAAAGAAAAGAACAACAAAAACAACACAATGGCTACAGTGGGTGGAATTAGAGGAATGGCCCCACTCACCATTACTCCCATGAACCTTTGCTGGGGGACTATGTGCTTTTCACATTTGGAACTCTGGACTCTGGAGGGCTGAAGTTCCCCAGAGGGAATACACCTTTGCTAGGGATAAAACAAGTGCCTTCTTGAACCACAAGCTATGGATACCATCACAGCATTTTGGACTCCTGTGTCCAAAGACTGGGAGGCAAGAACAGTCGTATGGTAGCAGGGATAATCAACCCTCATTAGGAAGAGACAGTGCTATACCACAGAGCTAGCAACAAATGAATATGTGTATCTCTATATCTACTGTCTTAGAAATCTCCTCCTGATACTTCCTGGGTCCATCAGAACTATAAATAGACATGTGTAACAAGTCTTACTTGAAAGACTGCCAAGGGTTCATGCCCACAGGAAAGAAGCAAGTTTGGGTCACATAGGTAAGAAAACAGGACTTGCAAGGTGGTAGCTGAGGTTCAGGGGCATTAGAATGGATAACAGAATGGGAGAGAACGAGTATCAGTCACAGTCTTGAGCCTAACTGCAGCCTTGGGGTCTCTGGTTCATCTCACTAACTTGTTTCTCCTATGTTTTCCCTGTGAGGCCCATGGGAAAATCTGTCTCCTAAGACTGCAGAGAGCAGCATATCTGTCCAAAACAAGAAGCAACCATGAAAATGAAAATGTGCTGCTAAAATTTAATTTTGGGCTCTTAGCTTTTAGATCCATCTCTGTTTTGCCTTGGGCTTCTCCAGGGACAGCAGGGATACAGTAGGTTCATACCCATACAGCAGGGATTCCATTACTGGGACGAGAGACTCTTTAACAAGTCATTTTTGCCTGAAGATCCTGCACTGGCCGGGTTTAATGTTCCTTAGAACTATGCTGTAGTCTAGGGATCTTTCTCCCTAATTCTCTTTGCTTCCCACTCTTTCACTAGCATCAGAATTGCATCACAGTCTCTTGGCACTTTCTCTGGCTATCTTCCCTCTAGCCTTCCCCGGGACTTTTCCCTTCATCAGTCTCTTGCCTATCTAATTCTGTCTTGACACCTGTGTCTCAGAGGACTCAGGCTAACAATGCTACTGGAGAAATGAGACTTTAGCCAGTAAGAAAATGGTGGAAGAAGACAGACTCGAAGTCTGCTTTCCTGTATTGGATCTCTATAAATTTCTTATGCAATACTGACATTATTTTCTGTAAAAGCCAACTTTAAAATTCTTTATTTTTACTGACCTAAATAGAAAGTGCTAGCAAAAGAAAAGAAAATTGAAGTAAAGAAATCAGTTTCTCTTTCTTTAACTGCTCTTTTCTCTTTACAGTTTTTATCATTACTTAAGTTGTACTCACTTGGGCAGTCTGGCATTTTGTGAATTTTTATCACTTGGCATTTGAGAAAAATTATTCCACTATTAGAAAACCACTTAAAAGTGCCCTAAAGGATCAAAAGCATAATCTTAATCCATATAAATGGAAACAGTTTGTTACTGCCTCTTAAATTGTTTAAGAAACCAACTTAACATTAGGAATCTTGCACAATATTCAGAGCTCATCTTTGCTATTGACATTTGGGCACATCTCTTGAGTTCCTGAATCATATCTTACTTAGCTAGAAAATAGAAGTAAAAGTATTTATTTTCTACAGATAAAGAGAGGCATTTCCACAGATGCATATGTGTGTATGTGATACAGGAAGAATAAGCTTAATATTTGGGATCACAAATAAAAAGCTGAACTCAGCTCTACAACTTCTGAGAAACCTACTGGCTTATTGCATTTTAGTTACCTCATAGGCCATTACAAAGTTCAAATACAGTACAGCATGTGAAAGGCTTTATAAATTATAAAAAGCCACAGAGATGTAACCTTTTATGACAGTGATGATCTTGTTTAGAATAATGCTTGATGTATGACATATATACATGAGAAGCAGGAAGTTAATTTAGCTCACATTATTAGTTTATTAGGGCTGCCATCACAAAATACAATAAACAGGTGAGTTTAAA